GTTGACCTGTAAGACGCTCAGCGTTTGTGAGATTGAGGTGTTCGGAGGTAGCTATTATTCTTTTCCATTTTCTTTTAATTTACAATTATAAACTTTGGTGGTTTAAACTTTAATGGTTTAATGCTGGATATTTGGAAAGCTGAAACAACAAAACTTCATTTATTTTAATTATATATTAACAAAACTAAAAAAAAATAAAAACAAAATAAAAACAAAACAGCTTGGGGCGGTGAAAGTTTTGGTAACAATTTATAAAGAACAGATTAAATCACAAAGGAATGAGCAATGAACGTAAAGTGAGTTCCCTGGTATCGTAAAAGTTTGGTCAATTGCCAATGTATTCGTCTCCTCTTCCCCCTGCTTTATCATCATCCGATGGGTCATCTTAACCAGTTTGTCCGTCAATCATTATCATCATCATCATCAGGTGCCTTGCCGACTGGCGTGGGCGATCATGCCTCTGCATAATCTGCGATCTCCTGCAGCTTGTATGTCCGTCAATATCCGTCTTTAAGTCTTTCTAGAGGATAGTGTTAGACTGCTCTATGAGGAGGCATGAGAATCGCAGTCCATGGCAGGGGCGAGTGTGACTAGCAAGACCGGCCCGCGTTAGAAAGTCTTCCACAACTAGATTGTGGGATTTTAGGACGTCTTTTGCCATCACATGTAATTTCCCCTGATTCTTCTCAGGCACTCAGCTCTTATCCTCTCTGCAGTGATCCCCATCCCCTATATCCCCCATATCTTTCCCGATTCTCCCCTCCACACAACACGGTATATGGTACTTCGTTCCCAGTAAGCCTAATGAAGGGATGGAGAACGGGTGGACACTGGAACGGCGGGTGTATATTGAGAAATACACAACACAAAAGAGGTTATTCTGGCCAACAGTTCACTCACAGGGTCGTCCAACTTATCAGGTAACGAGTGCAGCTTTTTGGGAGGTCTATCTTAGCTTCACAGTTGGTGTCTTGTGCCTTGCTCACAGCAGGTGGTTGTCCTTTCCGCGGAGAGAGACTGAGACAGATAGGAATCACCCGGGGCAATGACGTTCCGTTCTATTGTTTGCACACACACACAAACAAAATCGCCACGTTCAACGAGCATCCCCGAAGGGGGAGCTTTAGGTTATAATTGCAACTACATTATGTGCGTCACATAAATGACTTAGCAATGCAAGCCACCAAGAACCATGAAAAGGACTCCTGCAGCAGTAATGCGATCAAAGGAGACAGACCAAAATACTGTGCCGACCGGCGACGAAGTTGTCTGTTTGTTCTGCCAGCGAGCCGATTGGCTACCTGGTCGCTAATGGGTCAAAAAGGTTGATCCTCTCTCGTCTTTCACTGTAACTGAATGTACATCCCTTGCAGAGACCATTTGTCCAGACAACACTTATGGCTTGTCGTGTGAACACAGATGCGACTGTAACCCGGAAGATGTGTGTCATTTAGCCACCGGAGCTTGCTCGCTTGCATGCACACCTGGTTTCTATGGGAGCAACTGCTCACAAACTTGTGGCGCCAAGTGTTTAAACGGCTCCTGTTACCAGCGTTTGGGATCCTGCGTACATTGCAAGGCTGGATACATGGGTGCTTATTGTAAGCAAGGTAAAGTGTTGTGAATCTGAAGGTTTTATATCAGGCTCGATAATGTGGACAACTTTGTGTCTTGTCAAACAAGGCGTTTATTTTGTGCTATATCGAGACATATCAGAAAACTAAAAAAAAAAAAAAAAAACTAGAAGGGCTTGACAATGGAACACATAAGGGGCAAAGAAATAAAGTTGGACCAAAAACATACGAAGAATGAAACAAGAGAGTGACGTCAACATAACTACAAAGACATCGGTTAAGGTGCATGTGACAACAAAGAATAGGATGACTTACTGTGTGATGGCTGAGTACCTTTGCTCTACTGAAAAAAAAAAAAAGGGGGGGGGGGGAAATAACGGACAGAAGAGGAAAAGGCAGACATAAGAATAACAAGCTATGTGTGTGACCAGTTATAAGAGTAGTCTTCCCCTGTCAGAGCATGAGATCTGTGAGGACTACTGTTGCTATTGTGTGGATTTGGTGTGCTCCTTCGGAGACGCTGAGTTCTTAACCTATCTGCACTCTGCACTCATTTTCTTCTGTGTCCATATTCTCTTTGTGCCCCCGCCCCCTCGCCTTTCTTTTCCTCTCCATACAACACGATGCATGGTATTCTGGTCCCACAAATCGGCCTCAAAACCTGACCCCTGATAGCCTGGCCAGAAAGATCAACGCATCGGGCAATTTGTTTTGGCTTGAACGAGATTGTAGGCTGATGATTTTTTATCAACTGTAGCTTCTAATCCCACACCACTTCTTCTCACTAATGTTCTATGACTGACGACAACCACCTGTTGAAGTTACGCTAATATAGTCTCAACCTTCTAACCATACAACACTACACTTCAATAATGTTCTATGACTGACGATAAGTCAACACTGATTGTGTCTCGACCCTCCGGCAGTTTGTGAACCTGGCTTTTTTGGCGTGGACTGTGCCAGCAACTGCTCCAGAAAATGTGTGGATGCCTGTGACCTCTACACGGGCAAGTGCGTAGACTGTGCGCGTGGTTTCGCTGGCACCCACTGCCAAGGTGCGTACATGTACAGTCAAATCGATGTGCATGTGTGTGTCCCTGTGTACTCTCTCTCTCTCTCTGTATATATATATATATATATATATATATATATATATATAAGTGTGTGTGTGTGTGTGTGTGTGTGTGTGTGTGTGTGTGTGCCTGTGCACTCTCTGTCAGTGTGCATACGCGCACAAACACACAAAGACACAGACACACACACAAACGCATATGGATACACGCACCACACACTCGCAGACATATACTCACACGCACGCGCTAAAAATAAAAATAATAATAATAATAATAATAATAATAATAATAAAAAAGAAAAAGAAGAAGAAGAAGAAGAAGAAGAAGAAAGAAGAAGAAGAAGAAGAAGAAGAAAAAAAGAAGAAGAAAGAAGAAGAAAGAATAAAAAGAAGAAAGAGGAAAGAAGAAGGAAGAAACAAGTAGTTGTAAAAAGTATACTCTAAAGACCAAACGACACTTGTTAGAAGATGTGGTTAGCATCAAGCCGGCCACCTTAACTTCCCACGACTTTTCCTGGTGTTCATTTTAGGCTGAGTCAACTGTGAGCCAAGCACGATATGCTGGAAGCGCCACTGTCATGGAAAGGGTATCTGATCAGTGGAATCACTTATCCGGTCATCTGTCACGTGATGTTCGCCACAAATCCAGATACGTGAACTGCTGTATCCTCTTTTTCCTCTTCTTCTTTTCTCTTCTTCCTTCCTCTTCTTCTTTTCTCTTCTTCTTTTCTCTTCTTCTTTTCTCTTCTTCTAGAATGCTTAGAGGCGTCAGTGCAGCAAGAGATATCTGGAATGGGCCCTTCTGTTCGCTTCAGATAAGGCACTTTTCAGGGATACTGAACATATCTATGTGCAATGAACTATTTTTAGGCATGAACTGTTTTTTGTGGCACTTATAAATACAAACATACTAGGGCGCGATTTATTTATAACTTCTATTCATTTATGGTGGATAGACAGGCCCACTATTTTAGTCTTAGATATTTGTGTGTGTGCTTCTAGTGACGGTTAGCTTTATATATTTCTCCATTTGTGGACTTGACGTTTATAGTTCGGTCGCCCTACTACTGACTCAGTGGGGAGACATTGTTAGCTGATGACTTCATTTAGAATGCTTTTGCAAGGTTTCCAATGTCGCTGGTATGAAAAATACAGATTCAGAAAATGGCTAGCGGCCTCTTACCACATAACCTGTTGTGGCTTATACGTTATTGCATGTGCAACCACTGGTATGTTGTAACTGGTGCTTCCATCAACAATGAAATGTACTGTACTAGGCCGGAGAAGGCCCTTTATAACAAGAAAGAAAAAGATCGAAAAATAGAGAGTAGAGAGAGAGAGAGAGAGAGAGAGTTTTGGTGGGGGAGAGATCCGAATATCTCACCCAGGCAAGAAATCTTCTGTGTAAAGTCTAGTGTAGCCAAGCAACGAATCAACTAAACTAGTAAACTAACTAGAAGTCCTAAGCTGAAGAAAACAACTGTAACTATGAATACAACGTTGAACATAATTTTATTTAACATCACATCAGCATGGCCAACAAATAACGACATTAACGACGACTACGTGCTCGGCCAGCATCTCAAATATATAGCGATCTACCATCTAACTATCTCTTAGCAAGAATACAAATGAAAATCTACTTTAACCAACTGAACGTACCCCCTGCCTGGAATCGGCCAGACCACGAACGTTACCATACCTGCCGACTAGCCCATTGTGCAAAGCATCAGTAGCTAGGTTAGGCTCCCACAGGTTGGTCCGGAAGTCAAAAGGCTGAAACTTTGTCAGTCGGCCGTTTAAATACTCCATTGGCCTGATTTTTCCACATCTTTCGTCTAACTCTATTAACTGCCAATGTTTCTCAAATGGCCGGTTAGCCATTTTCAAACTAGAATAAACCTTCTAAGATCTTTAATCTGCTGTACTGTAGTCTTCGTCGCTTCCACCCTATTACAGTACTTCTAGCGGCGTAACGTATCGGATTGTTCTGAATTCCAATTGCAGTTGTCCAACAAAAATTCCATATTTGATCCTTTTTCATGTGCCGGAGGCCTGCTTTAAGAAGGAAGGTTCCTTGGCTATCTTATTTGGTTTCCTTTTATTTGTGGTGTGTAGTCACACCTGATATTCCGGTTCTTTGCTTCTAGAGTCCGGTGTGGTGCTTGTGGTTTCTGGGTCTGGTCTAGTCATATGTTCTGAAATCTGTCGAATCCTTTAAATGCGTCTGTGTGCGTGTGCTATTGGCTTTGCCTAGACCACATTTTTTTTTGGGCTTCTCCCATAATGGATAACAGTTAACTTTCTGTGCGAATTTGGCTAGTAGGAATGGAGCAATTATGGGTGATCCAATTTGCTGTGAAGTCGGAGCCGCAGTTAACTGATTAAATGAACACTTACAACGTCTACACATAAAAAACACCCTTTTCATACAGTGTAGTGTTGCAGAACGCGAACTTGATAATAATGGTTCCGGTACATCTTCTTGTTAGTATTCACCAGCTGTTAAATCCGGGGGAAAGCTATGGTTGTTCGTCCACTTTTGGACTTGAGTCTTGTTCTAGAATTTGAATTTTGCGTACACATCCGTTTTACAGCTCTGCTTACTTGTATGTAGACTACTATCTGTTCGCTCTCAGGTAGATGAACTCCGACTTCGGATGAGTTGTAGTAAATGTTCTGCTACATTTATGTTATGTTATAGAATACACAGTGAGTTACTATAGTGAAAATTGTTCAAGTATATGTTTCTGCTACATTTATGTTATGTTACAGAATACACAGTGAGTTACTATAGTGAAAATTGTTCAAGTATATGTTTCTGCAACATTTATGTTATGTTACAGAATACACAGTGAGTTACTATAGTGAAAATTGTTCAAGTAAATGTTTCTGCAACATTTATGTTATGTTACAGAATACACAGAGAGTTACTTTAGTGAAAATTGTTCAAGTATATGTTTCTGCTACAATTATGTTATGTTACAGAATACACAATGACTTACTATAGGGAGAAGTGTTGTAGTAAATGTTTTTCATTCAATTATGGTGCGTTAAATCAAATCCTAACATGCACAGTTTGTGGCGACAGTACTAGCCATGCAGCCTTAAAACGCACACAAGCCCCCCCCCCCCCCCTACTACCCACCCACCCTGTGTACACCTAAAAAAAAAGTTGGAGTAAATGAGTTACTACAGTGAACAATGTTCTAGCAGATGTTTATCAAACTGAAATGTTGTATTGTGTTTCAGACTGTGCTCTGCATTTTTATGGCAACAACTGCTCCCGCAAGTGTTCGCCACACTGTATTGATATCTGTAACGTCAACACTGGAGAATGCACCTGCAAAACAGGATTCTATGGCTCCATGTGCAACGGTTCGTATCGTATTGCATATATTGTTGGTCTCGTAAAACAGGGAACGCAGGTGGCAATGAAATGCCACCATATACATCATAATCAACCTAAGCGTTAACATACACAAGTAACAATTAGATTAGTGTGGTCTGAAGAAGAATAGTGCGCCGGGGAGGAACATAGAGATCTTGCTGATGCACTTCATTTAGAGGAAGTGAGGGACGCACTGACAGTAGAATCTTGTTGCTGCCAGTATCGTAGACCACATATCGACATTGTTCCCCATCTGATCACAGGGGATAACTGGCTTGTAATCAGTATCGTAGACCACATATCGACATTGTTCCCCATCTGATCACAGGGGATAACTGGCTTGTAATCAGTATCGTGGACCACATATCGACATTGTTCCCCATCTGATCACAGGGGATAAGTGGCTTGTAATCAGTATCGTGGACCACATATCGACATTGTTCCCCATCTGATCACAGGGGATAAGTGGCTTGTAATCAGTATCGTGGACCACATATTGACATTGTTCCCCATCTGATCACAGGGGATAAGTGGCTTGTAATCAGTATCGTGGACCACATATCGACATTGTTCCCCATCTGATCACAGGGATAAGTGGCTTGTAATCAGTATCGTGGACCACATATTGACATTGTTCCCCATCTGATCACAGGGGATAAGTGGCTTGTAATCAGTATCGTGGACCACATATCGACATTGTTCCCCATCTGATCACAGGGGATAAGTGGCTTGTAATCAGTATCGTGGACCACATATCGACATTGTTCCCCATCTGATCACAGGGGAAGACTGGCTTGTAATTAGTATCGTGGACCACATATCGACATTGTTTATCATCTGAACAAAGGGGAAAAATGGCTTGTGAACAGTATCGTAGACCTCCCCCCCCCCCCTTTTCACCCCCTCCCTAAAAAAAATGTACCTGCCAGGTAAGATGAAATATTTCGGCCATAATCAACGCTATTACGTTGTGGACAGAAAGGTCAGGAAGGTATGGTTGAGGCCGGAGTCGACCGTCAAGACGGCGGGTATCGGATACAAAGAACAGCCAAGAAAAAAACTGTTCATCAAGCGGGCCAAATGGTGGGAGACCGAGCTGGTTTATCGGTGTGCCGCCATAAGAGCAACGTTCTGCAAATTATCTGCTTCGTGATGATGCTGATGGGGATAAAGATGATAATATTTTTGGTAATTTAAGAGTTAAAAATTACCCCCCCCCCCCCAAATCTCTTGGGTTCTAATCCACATCCAGTCTGTTTGTCATAACCGTCCTTGGATTCCAGGTCAACCAAGCCTTCAGTGGGTACCAGGAACAGTACTGGGAAAAAAAGGCGGCTGGCAGGCATCACCATATGCGTACCAGGTCTTCTATAAAAACACGAGTCAGCACCATGTGCCCGATATATCACTAGTGTAAAAAAAAATGAATACCTTATTACTGACATACTTACACACATATTATATATCTTACGTACAAATTACATATAACTTACACACAACTTACATGGAACTTACACAGAACCCACACACAGCTTACAAACAATTACACACAGCTTATCTGGAATAAAATACAACGTACACACATTTTACATACAACATAGACGCCTTCCGATGGACCCAAGGTCTTGTGTTGCAATTATCATTTAAGCAAGCTTTAAAAAATAATTCACTTCAGACTCTCGGGACACGTATGAGGAAGTAAATTCGGCCTGCATGAATTCGACTGCAATACCCTTTAAGTGCTGAGGAATTGTAAACTGAGAGGTCTGGCACCACACATACACTGTGTCATTTGTGTGAAAACCGTTCTTCATTTTGAATATTCACACACACTTGGTCACTGGGCCAAGAATGCTGAGCATCTTAATAACACGATCAGCTTACAGACGTCCTAACCAGCGTTTCTGCTGCCATTTGTTATTTCTGTATTGTTTCTGCGACAGGTTCTAATAATTTTTTAACTGCATATTAAAATTTTTTCCCCCGCAATATATTTTACATTATTTATGTGTCATGTTGCCCGGCCCGCTAGCGAAGTTGGCTAAACCTTTCTGCGAAGCCACCGGACGACGAACTGCTTGTGGTCCGTGTTCAAACCCCGGGGGTAGGCAGAAAAGACACATTTTCCCCAGATTTACGGTATCTATCATGGAATCAAGGTTGAGGGGTTGTGATATCCATAGTACCAAGCCAAAGGGTTAACTACTCATGGTTTCTCCATACTTGAAAAAAGTGGTATGTTCTACGTTATTTATGGCACCGTTTCTATTTTATCTTTGCCAGATGTTCTATGTCTTGCCACGCACTCTATCTGCCACATGTTCTACATAATGTCTGCTGCAAGTTCTTCATTATTTCTGGTGCAAGTTCTAGATTTTATCTACTGTGCATTCTACATTTGATTAAACTGAATGTTCTATATTTGATTCTACTGAATGTTTTACATGTGTTTCTACTGTATGTTTTATATTTGATTCCAATGTATGTTCTATATTTGATTCTACTGTATGTTCTATTTTTGATTTTTCTGTATGTTCTATATTTTATTTTACTGTATATTCTACATTTTATTCTACTGTACGCTCATTCTTTTTGTCTAATGTTTGTTCTACATTTTATTCTAATTTATGTTCTACATTTTAAATTGCATTCAATTCAACATTAGATTCGGCTCGGTGGTACATTTTACAGTGTCTTACATTCTATTATTCACACTATTTTCTTCTGCATAATCTACATCACAGTCTACTTCCTGTTCTACCCTGTATTCTACTTCATGATCTACATCACAGTCTACTTCCTGTTCTCCACTATATTAAATTATTTTACTGCATGATCTAAATCACAATCTACTTCCTGTTCTACACTATATTCTACTGCATGATCTACATAACAGTCTACTTCCTGTTTAACAATATATTCTACTCAAATCTACTCTCTACATCACATTCTACTTTCTGTTCTACACTACATTCTACAGAACGGTCTACAGCACAGTCTATTTCCTGTTCTGCACTATATTCTACTCAACGGTCTACATCATTACCTATAGCACATCTCAACCCATGTTCCCAACCACGCCCTGGTGAATGTTCCTTGGTGACTGACATCATTTCTCGTCAACAGAGTGCAGTGCTGGTAGGTTCGGCCCCAACTGTACGAAGCACTGCCCGACGGGATGTAAGGACCATCTGTGTCATGTAGAGACTGGCCAGTGTACTAGCTGCTATGGGAGACACATAGGGCCTTTGTGTGATGGTACGACAAGGACAATGTTCATGTGTGTGTTTAGTTTAGTGACACACGTATAATCTTATCCATTGTAAAAACATTCATTGTTTTTCTGAAATAGGACATTTGATTTCTGAAGACAGTTATGTCTAAAACGTAAAAACATTAATGTCCATTCTGAAAGTAACACACATTCATTATTTCGTGAACTTAGCACACATGTTTTTGCTAGAATGTACAACACAGCTTTGTTTAAAAAAAAAAATCACGAATGCAGCATAACAGATAAATCAAATTAACATGACACATGAAACATAAAACATTCATTAAATCAACATAAAACATCCATAAAAGCAGCATAACACATTCTTGAAAAAAAATAACATAACCATGAAAGCAACGTAGCATATCAATGAAAGTAACGTAACATATCAATGAAAGCAACGTAGCATATCCATTAAAGCAGTATGACATATCTATGAAAGCAACATAAAATATCCATGAAAGCAACATAAGACATCCTTGAAAGCAACATAAGACATCCTTGAAAGCAACATAACATATCCATGAAAGCAACGTAAGACATCCATGAAAGCAACATAAAATATCCATGAAAGCAACATAACATATCCATGAAAGCAACATAAGACATCCATGAAAGCAACATAACATATCCATGAAAGCAACATAAAATATCCATGAAGGCAACATAAGACATCCATGAAAGCAACATAAAATATCCATGAAAGCAACATAAGACATCCTTGAAAGCAACATAACATATCCATGAAAGCAACATAAGACATCCATGAAAGCAACATAAAATATCCATGAAAGCAACATAACATATCCATGAAAGCAACATAAGACATCCATGAAAGCAACATAACATAGCCATGAAAGCAACATAAAATATCCATGAAAGCAACATAAGACATCCTTGAAAGCAACATAAAATATCCATGAAAGCAACATAAGACATCCATGAAAGCAACATAAGACATCCATGAAAGCAACATAACATATCCATGAAAGAAACATAAGACATCAATGAAAGCGACATAACATATCCATGAAAGCAACATAAGATATCCATGAAAGCATCATAAGATATCCATGAAAGCATCATAAGATATCCATGAAAGCAACATACAATATCCATGAAGGTATCTTAACATATCAATGAAAGCAACATAACATATCAATGAAAGCAACTTAACATATCAATGAAAGCATCATAAGATATCCACGAAAGCATCATAAGATATCCATGAAAGCATCACGGTATATCAATGAAAGCAAATAAAATATCAAATCCATGAAAGAATCACAAGATATCAATGAAATCATCATAAAATATCCAAGAAAGCATCTCAGGATATCCATGACAGCATCATAAAATATCCACGAAAGCAACACAACATATCCACTTGAAAGCATCATGAGATAAATATGAAAGCAAAAGAACCTATCCATGAAAACAACACAACATATCCATGAAAGCGTCATAAGATATCCATGAAAGCGTCATAAGATATCAATGAAAGCGTCATAGATATCCATGAAAGCATCACAGGATATCCATGAAAGCAACAAAACATATACATGGAAAGCATCACAGGATATCCATGAAAGCAACAAAACATATACATGGAACTGTTATAACACATCCATGAAAGCACCATAAGACCCTATGGAAGCAACAAAGGACATCCATGAAAGCAACAAAGGACATCCATGAAAGCAACAAAGGACATGCATGAAAGCACTATAGGACACCCATGAAAGCAACATATATCCGTGTAAGCAATATAACACACAAACGAAACAACGCAACACATTCATGAGAGCAACATAGCACATTAACAAGCCGTTTGGTGCACACGCTGGGGTTCAACATCACATGCACTGTCTTCCCCAGATTGTCCGGACAAATATTACGGGTACATGTGTAAATATGAGTGCTCCACCCAGTGTATGAACGAATCCTGTGATTCTTTGACGGGCACTTGCGCTAAATGTCTCAACAACTTCGATGGACCTCAGTGTTTGATTGGTAACAGATTTCCTCTTCCTCTCGTGTGTCACTGCTCTCGTGTGTCACTGCTCTCGTGTGTCACTGCTCTCGTGTGTCACTGCTGTCGTGTGTCACTGCTCTCGTGTGTCACTGCTCTCATGTGTCACTGCTCTCGTGTGTCACTGCTCTCGTGTGTCACTGCTCTCGTGTGTCACTGCTGTCGTGTGTCACTGCTCTTATGTGCCACTGCTTTCATGTGTCACTGCTCTCATGTGTCACTGCTCTTGTGTGTCACTGCTCTCATGTGTCACTGCTCTCATGTGTCACTGCTGTCGTGTGTCACTGCTCTCATGTGCCACTGCTCTCATGTGCCACTGCTCTCATGTGTCACTGCTCTCGTGTGTCACTGCTCTCGTGTGTCACTGCTCTCATGTGTCACTGCTCTCGTGTGTCACTGCTCTCATGTACCACTGCTCTCATGTGTCACTGCTCTCATGTGTCACTGCTCTCATGTATCACTGCTCTCATGTACCACTGCTCTCATGTGTCACTGCTCTCATGTACCACTGCTCTCCACTGCTCTCGTGTGTCACTGCTCTCGTGTGCCACTGCTCTCGTGTGTCACTGCTCTCGTGTGTCACTGCTCTTGTGTGTCACTGCTCTCGTGTGCCACTGCTCTCGTGTGCCACTGCTCTCATGTGTCACTGCTCTCGTGTGCCACTGCTCTCGTATGTCACTGCTCTCGTGTGCCACTGCTCCCGTGTGTCACTGCTCTCATGTGTACCACTGCTCTCATGTGACACGCTCTTGTCCATGTTCACTGCTCTGCTCTCATGTACCACTGCTCTCATGTACCACTGCTCTCATGTGTCACTGCTCTCGTGTGCCACTGTTCTCGTGTGTCACTGCTCTCATGTGCCACTGCTCTCGTGTGTCACTGCTCTCGTGTGCCACTGCTCCCGTGTGTCACTGCTCTCGTGTGTCACTGCTCTTGTGTGTCCACTGCTCTTGTGTGTCACTGCTCTCGTGTGTCAATGCCATGTGCCAATGCTCTTATGTGTGCTCCATGTGCTCTCATGTGTCACTGCTCTCGTGTGCCACTGCTCTCGTATGTCACTGCTCTCGTGTGCCACTGTTTATGCCTCAAAGTGTGACCGAGAAGAGTTAGATGCAGTTTCCTGTCTGTTACTAAATGTATAGTGTTCGTTTGTTGTCATATTGTCTTTCTGCAGTGTCTTTTTGACTCCATCCACCCATATCTTTTTTGGTCGGCCTCTTAAATTGTAGCCTTCTCTTCTCATAATGTACGCTCTGCCTGCTGCGAGGAGTTTTTTTATTCTGACCAGATGACCGAACCATTTGATTCTTTGCAGTTCTATGAAATCATTAGACGGTACTGTACGAACTATTGTTCTTAGTTCTTTGTTTGTGGCTCCATCTCTGTTTAACCCGACTCATTTCTTATACATTTCATCTCACATGTTGTAAAAGGCTATAGATCGTTTGACACTAGCGGGATGTTCTCGCTTGATAAATGGTTTTGGAACAACTGTATTATTTGTTTTCTGCTCTTCTAAAGAATGTCACTTTGAATCTTGGAATCTGAATGAATAAATTACAAGGAGCTTGAAATCCATAGAGATGTAGTCCACCTTTGGACTTTGGTTCTACTCTAGTGTTGCCTGCACATCCGTTTTCCAGGTGACTGTGTGCAGACTATTGGTTCCTCGTCTTTCAGGCAGAGATATTCCAAGGGAATACATCGATTTGAGGAAACGTTGATTGTATCTACACTGACCAGGTTTCCCGGTTGGGAACCAGTTTTTGGAATGACCACGAAGGTGTGTTCACAGGTCTTGACCAGTATGTGTACCAACGACCCAGCCAACCAACAACCCAGCCAACCAACGACCCAGCCAACCAACGACCCAGCCAATCAACGACCCAGCCAATCAACGACCCAGCCAAAGAAATAACCCGTCAGCCAACTATCTAATATTTTACCAATCAGCAGATCAATCAAACAACCAACAAACCAGCCAACCGTTAAAAAGCCCACCAGTCCCACGTTAACCAACAAGACAGTCAACCGTTAACTAACTAGACAGTCAACCATTAACTAACTAGACAGTCAACCGTTAGACAACTAGACAGTCAACCGTTAACTAGCTAGACAGTCAACCGTTAACTAACAAGACAGTCAACCGTTAACTAACAAGACAGTCAACCGTTAACTAACAAGACAGTCAACCGTTAACTAGCTAGACAATCAACCCTAACTAACAAGACAGTCAACCGTTAACTAACTAGACAGTCAACCGTTAACTAACTAGACAGTCAACCGTTAACTAGCTAGACAGTCAACCCTTAACTAACAAGACAGTCAACCGTTAACTAGCTAGACAGTCAACCCTAACTAACAAGACAGTCAACCGTTAACTAGCTAGACAGTCAACCCTAACTAACAAGACAGTCAACCGTTAACTAGCTAGACAGTCAACCCTAACTAACAAGACAGTCAACCGTTAACTAGCTAGACAGTCAACCGTTAACTAGCTAGACAGTCAACCGTTAACTAGCTAGACAGTCAACCCTAACTAACAAGACAGTCAACCGTTAACTAGCTAGACAGTCAAACCTAACTAACAAGACAGTCAACCGTTAACTAACTAGACAGTCAACCGTTAACTAGCTAGACAGTCAACCGTTAACTAGCTAGACAGTCAACCGTTAACTAGCTAGACAGTCAACCGTTAACTAGCTAGACAGTCAACCGTTAACTAACTAGACAGTCAACCGTTAACTAGCTAGACAGTCAACCCTAACTAACAAGACAGTCAACCGTTAACTAGCTAGACAGTCAACCGTTAACTAGCTAGACAGTCAACCGTTAGACAACTAGACAGTCAACCGTTAACTAGCTAGACAGTCAACCGTTAACTAGCTAGACAGTCAACCGTTAACTAGCTAGACAGTCAACCGTTAGACAACTAGACAGTCAACCGTTAACTAGCTAGACAGTCAACCGTTAACTAACTAGACAGTCAACCGTTAACTAGCTAGACAGTCAACCGTTAACTAACTAGACAGTCAACCGTTAGACAACTAGACAGTCAACCGTTAACTAACTAGACAGTCAACCCTAACTAACAAGACAGTCAACCGTTAACTAGCTAGACAGTCAACCCTAACTAACAAGACAGTCAACCGTTAACTAGCTAGACAGTCAACCGTTAACTAACTAGACAGTCATCCGTTATACAGCTAGACACTCAACGGTTAGGCAACTAGACAGTCAACCGTTAACTAACTAGACAGTCAACCGTTAACTAGCTAGACAGTCAACCGTTAGACAACTAGACAGTCAACCGTTAACTAGCTAGACAGTCAACCGTTAACTAACTAGACAGTCAACCGTTAACTAACTAGACAGTCAACGATTAGACAACTGGACAGTAAATCCTTCAGACATCTAGAGAGTTAACCGATAAGATATTTAACCATTAGACAACTAGACAGTAAACCATTAACAGCCAGCCAACCAACAAACCACTAATTTAATCAGCCAACGAATGATTCTGCTAACCAATTAGGAAAAAAAAAATAATTCAAATAGCCAACCAATAAACCAGTCATAATATATATATATATATCATAGGATATATATATATATATATATATATATATATATATATATATATATATATATATATATAAAAGTTACATTAAAAACCCATAGTTGGAGACCCAGTAACAAACCAGCCATGCATTAAAAATGTGAAACAGTTAACCAATAATTCAGCCAGCCAGTCAGTCGAGGAACTAAAGAATTCACTTATCTTCGCATGACATGTGTGTACTGTTTCTGTAACATGGCTCCACTTTTGATCTCAACAGCACCAGAGCAAGACAAAAAACCGTTGTTGTTTCTGGCTCCAGTGATGGCTTCTCTCAGCTTTCTGACCTTGCTTGCCATCTACTTCACGCGAAACAAACGTGAGGTCACTCAGTTAGAGGAAGAGTCACTGTCGAACAGCAGCACAAGATCCAGTGTCAGTAGTAGTGCTCTCTAGCAGCATCTCAAGCATGTCGGATAGGTTCACTACCTGGCAGTCACAGAATCTTACAACGTCTCCTATACTACAAAAAAAAAAAAAAAAAAAAAAAGAAGGTAGAATCTTCGTGTGTTATGCCAGCTGTGTTCTAGAGAAGAGTGTGCTAATTATTATGTGGTATCCTGGAGTCGCTGTGGTATGGTGGCTGGACCCTCGCTTCAGGGTTTCAAGTTCTTTGTTTCCAGTTGACACCGAGTCTGATTCCCTGCCTGGATACAGTGATATTGACTTCCATCCAAACCTACCAGCCACTATCTTTTCCAGAGGTCAAAACTCTTATTAAGAGAAAATCAGAAACAGATTGGAAAACCAACATTGGTTATAATTACGAAAAAGATTTTCTGAAACACTTGAACAGAACAGACCAAGTCACAGTTTTTCGCTTACGTGCAGGACACTGCAGACTCAATAAACACTCATATAAATTAGGTATGAGCCAAACAGCTCTCTGCCAGTGTCTTCGCGCTGAACAGACTCCAGAACATGTCCTGCAAGACTGTCCTCTCCTGACGGAGCTGTGGAGCAACATATGGCAACACCTAGTAGAACTGACAACTAAGCATTGGGGAAACCTAAGAGACCTTGACAAGACATCGCAGTTTATGGCCCACAGTGGATTCTGTGCATGACCAGAGATCGCTGAAGAAGAAGAAGACTTCCAATCAGATCATCATCACCAGGTGCCTTGCTGACTGACGTGGGCGATCATGCCTTTCCATAATCTGCGATCTGCTGCAGCATGTATCAGTTCGTGTGCCGACACACCTCCATGCTATGCAACAAGACTGTCAAGCATCTTCTCTCGTTGTCTTTCTCTATCTCTCCTTCCACATATCTTTCCAGTGGTTACAACATGTTCTATTTTCCCTCTTCTCATAACATGGCCGAAAAATGATGACTGTCTCCTTCTGAGGATCTCCATTCAGATCATCCCAGCTTAAAATGGG